TTAGTTGTTTAAAAAATAGGAAACCTTTTAAACAACAGTTGTTTAGTAATAAAATTGCACAACTCGGTTGTTTAAAGCAAGTTGTTTAAATTTTAAACAATAATGTTTAAATTACTAAGCAACTGTTGTTTATTCAGTATTACTGCACAACTGGGTTGTTTAAAAGGAGTTGCTTAAATTTTAAACAGAACTGTTTAATGGTTATTATCTGGTTGTTTGAATTTGTGAAATGACCTACTGGAACCACTCCTGCAATAATCACAACGATTTATACACTGCAACATGCAGAGCTTGTTGCCAATTTACTTCAACATATTTTGTTCATCATATTCATGGCAGTGACAGACAACATTATTATTTGTCTCTATAACTTCACCTAAACCCATCGGCGAAGCCGAGAAGAACCAAGTCGTCGCCTTGCCCTTGTTCCGCCATTTTCGTCTGCACTGCCCTGCACTAGCACTTGCACTGCACACACTAGCACTGCATGCTTGCATGCATGTATTATGTACGTACTTTGTGCATATCGTATGTGTGTGTGCGCAAATAGCAATCGCGTATCGAGAAAATATCAACGACGCCCCCGGGACTTTTTAAACAACTCTGTTTAATTCAATATTTGTGTCTTTTAATACATAGTTGTTTAAGTCAATCGAGCACTGATTTTTCGATTTTGAACAACGTTGTTTACTTTTTTAAACAACATTCTTTTAAACAGTGATATTTTAAACACCGTTCTAACAGTGTAAATAAGCGCCAACGCCCTATTAACGTGTTGCCCGCTTTGATAACGAACCACCGTGTGCCCTCGCCGTTCTCCACCGTCTGCAGACATTTTCGCGCACGGTGGCACACGGTAGGCCTACACGGCAGAGTGTGAGAGTCACTTTAGAAATTAAATGTAAACCAACTTACAATGCTTTCACAAGGTATCCGGGCTAACTTGGCTCAAAGACAACTCGACCTAGCTACAAAAACTGTCAGTTTTTGTCATTTTACCCAAACCATAACTGTAACCCTAACCTTAAACCTAAACCTAATCCTAAACCTAACCCCAAACCTGCAAAGACTGACCGTTTTTGCAGCAGGGCCGAGTTGCCTTGAGTCGAGTTAGCCTGACTCCGCTAAACCCTACCCTAACCCTAACTCTAAAACCTAACCCTAACCCGAACCCTTAACCCTAACCCTAAAAAAATATCATAACAACTTCAATCATGCCAGGAGAGCTCGGCCCTGTATTTGCAACGGACCTAGTTATATTGTACAAGGTACAGTATTCCTATTTATTCCATTATGGTAATGTTAGTTAGTGACATAGCACAGTCGAGCCGGGAGTGGTGAAGAAAAAAAAAGGTAAAAGAAAGAAAAAGCGAGAAAAGAGAGAACGGGAAAAAGGGAAGAGGTGGAAAGGGCGATATTATAAGATGCCTGGGCCACGTCCCGCACCCTCCCTATATAGTCAGTAGCCTTGTAAATTTGCATTCCATTTTCCGATTATCTTTTTTCTTTTCTATTTGTGTTAAGTACACTTAGTCAGAATAAAATAAAACACTGTAGAAGACTTTAAAACCGTGGTTGTTTGTTTGTTTGTATGTTCAAAAGTTCAGTCGAGTCCATAGCAACTGAGTTCGATTTAGCGAGATGAACGATACGTCCATTAATATAAGATTTCATTTCATTTTTTGTTTAGTTCCTAATACATGATGAAATTAGTAATATCAGAAATAAGAACTTATATTATGCAGAGCTGATCAGGGTTCCAAAATAAGCGGAACTTGATGCCTTGTGAGCCCTGACATTCAATTTCATGTCCAAGTAAAGGTTCCTGGTGATGCTAAAGTACAGCAAAGAGAAGAGAAGATTGAGACTAAAGAGTGATTGGGAGAGAGAAAGAAAGGGAGAGAGAGAGAGAGAGTGAGAGAGAGCGAGAGAGAGTGAGAGAAAAAAAAAGAGCGAGAGAGAGAGAGAGAGAGAGAGAGATAAGTGTGTGTGTGTGGGGGGGGGGGGGTGTATGAAGGCTTTTTCTTATCGAGTCACTACACAAGTCCCGTGCAGTGCAGAACTTGAGTAGTGTGGTTGAAGGATTGACAGGAACCGCGACGTGAACGCTTCTTCAATGACCCCACACATTTATACAATAACAATTAACATTAATTAAAAGAATGAGGCGATTACGATATTACTCTTATTTTGCGGGGTTGGGGTGGGAGTAAAGAGTACTAGTTAAGCAAAACTAAATACTATTTAGTTCAAGTTCTTTATTGATTATGTCGATTCAGTGCGATTATAAAAATACTGATTACAAAAGAAGAAGAAAAAATAATCAAAAAACAAAAGACAATGCAGACATAAACATTCATGATGAAACAGTATATTGGGAGAACAGCATGATTTTCACTTATACTATGAATGCAAACTCGGTGGCCCGAATTCACAAAGGAGGTTTGTCTAGAAAATTAGGTTTATGTACGTCATATTGCGCGTTATCCCGTGTTTTTGACAAACCCGGGTTTGTATTTACAGACCTAGGTTTATCAAAACGCGTAAAAACGCGTCATATGACGCACATAAACCTAAGTTTGTCGACAAACCTCCTTTGTGAATTCGGGCCTGGCTGTATAATTATTTTGAGTTTGAGTTTATTAATAACAAAAATAATAACAATTTAAACATAATGTATCAAGCATGATTAAATAAAATATTACAATATAACACAAGATCGATAACATTACACATGAATAATATAAACACTGTTTTACAAAGTTTGTTGTATACAAATGGAATAAAAGATTATGTGTACAGTTTTGTTGTTAAAGGGGGTACCAGAAGTTAGCACAAATGCTAGTCGAATCTGGTTCAATTTGATCCAAAGGTAGGGAATTTTATATGTCCGGGCCACTATGTGTAAATGCTTTATGTGCCGTAGCGGTTTTACTGTTTCGTTGGAAAAGAATGTACGTCTTTGTTTTTTCTTTTAAAGGGCAGTTAGGGCAGGAGGCAATTGGCCGTGGTAAAGATGGAACATAACGAGTGCAGTCTTTAATAAATTAATATCAGAAATTTTAAGGGTATTATTAAATTAAAAAAACAAATGGATGCTATGATCTCTGTAGTAAAAACTAGTACAAATACGTATCACCTTTTATGATATCTTAGAATTGAATCGCTCAGACATTTGGAATTGGCACATATCAAATTACATGATGTGATATTCGGTAGTAGCATAGTAACATACAATATGAATAAAACGTTTAATGGTAGGAAATATTTCTATGAGTGGTTTTAGATACATATTTGACATGGACAGAGCAATTTAAAAGTTCGTTAATATAAACTCCAAGAAATTTAGTATCGGTTTTCTGTTCGATCACAGGAAAATCAATTCTTTGATTTATCAAATTGTATTGGTTTATTATGGGCCCTAAAGTATAATTTGTTTGAAATTTGAATGGGAGATAAATACATTTGTGTCATCAGCAAACATTATATATATTGTAAGACAATAACGAATTAGAAATATCATTGATATAAAGTGAAAACAAGAGCTGGTCCAATATTGAGCCCTGTGGGACTCCACATTTAATATATAATATTTCAGTAAAAAGATGATTATTAGAAGTAAACCGTTTCCTGTTTTACAAGTGGATGTCAAACCAATTCGAAGCCATTCCTTTAATACCATAACACTGTAGTTTCTTCAAACTAATAGAGTGATCAAGAGTGTCGTTTGCGTTAATCACATCTAAGATCTAAGATGCATGACCCTACGTGTTATCAATGTCTGTGGTATGGTGTAATATTGAAGCCCTACAAAAAATTGCGCTTCAAAATGTCCATGAAGTGCCTCAAAAAAGTAAAAAATCTTTGAGTGACCGCTTTTACCATACTCATTTCCTCCAATAGACTGTAGTTTTATTTTTTTAAAACCGTTAGGAAAACGAATTCTGACATATCTTATTCTAATCATAGATATCTTGATAATCAGACAGGCGATTGGCTTGTGAATGTGATTCATGTATGACCTAAACGTTTATAAATATGATTGCAGCATGAGCTTAATCCAGGATTTTTTTTAAGGATCTGAGGCAAAGTTACCCAATCTCTTTAAGGAGGTTATTCTTCGTCAAAAATTCATACAATCTGTTGTAAAAAAAAATACTTTCAACTATTTTTGAAAAGCTTGACAAAGTGGAAATTGGGCGAAAGTTACTTAGAGGCATCATCTTTTTTGTATATCGGTACAACCTTTTTTCTGTTAATAAAAAAAGAAATCGGAAATACACCAGTTGTTAATGAAAAAATAAATATTAACACAAGGGGGGGGGGGTAAAATGCTACCAATTATTTTCTTTAATACACTGGTCATAATTTCGTCGTGGCCAGATGAATGGGTTTGCTTTATTTAAACGAGTTCACTATGCGTAGTGTTTCAAGATGATCGGTAGGTTTTAAGAAGACTGACTTGTTTATATAGTTCGGAAGATATTTTTCAAATCGTTACCTTGTATATACATCTTAGTTGCTTGCTCTGAACCTATGTTAGCAATGTTTATCAAAACCGTTTGCAATATATTTGGGGTAATCCAAATTAGAGTTATAGATAAAAGGGTTTGTACTCTGGGGGATCTGTATTGTTTAGAAAGTACTTGATTACTAGCTCTCCCTGTAGAGGTCATATTTCCATGTGCATTTTCTAGCTGTTTGGAGAAGTACATTTTACGTGAAAGCCGTATGACTGTAGTCAGCTTGTTTCTATAGATTCATTCGTACTTATATTAAAATCACTGCGATTTTTAAAGCTAGTTTTGCAGAAGATATTCCTTTCTTCAGGTGATATTATGATGCCTTTTGTGATCCACGGGTTTCCCAAATGACCTCAAATGTTTTGGCTCCAAGGCGCCTCTCAAAATCATGATTGTCGTTTAGTGCAACGCCTCCTAGTAAACAATCTCCATTGTCAGCACTGAAGGAAAAGCGCGAGCAGGACTCCGTTGCCAAACACAGGGCCGCGCACTCGATCAACGTCGACGTGGAGTCTCGCTTGACCACGGCCGAATCCATAATAGTTTTATCCTGGGCGATGATCTTATACCTGTTCGACCTTTGGCGAGCTTCAAATAAGAATGCGATAACAGAACACACTTTAATTTGGACTGTCTAATATGTTTACGTGTTCCGTTGACAATTACCACGCAGTCGATTCTCTACACGAATAGAATTTCCAACCCTGGGATAAACACTATACTTGATCCTAACCCTAACCCTAATCATGACCCAAAACCCAATAGCAATCCTAACCTTTACTATATATCTTCGACAATATAAAGGCCGGAGCAATTATTAACAGAGTAGAAAATGTCGAATCTATATTAATCGTACAAGAACAGTTCGCGCAGATATTAGATTAGAGCAAATAACTAGAGACATAAATTCTTGTAAAAAACTAAAACAAAACGAAGAAAAAGCAAAGAGGCATCATCACAATATTGCCCATTAATAGCCCTATCTTTAATGATGTAGTAATTTCATTACTAGCATCGCTCAATCTTAACAGACGTTGGAATACTATTTTTTGTAAGACAAAAAAGGAGTCATCTAGTATCTTCCTTCATATCTCGTTATTTCAGCACCTGATAAAAGAGCACAAAATACAGGTGCGTATATATTCAAATGTTTTTAATACTTTGTCCATAATTCTGTAACCCAATTTAAAAAAAATCTTCCTGGGATTGCACACAGGCATGAAATATCAATGATAACAAAACTTATCACTTTATTCAGTATATAAATCAAGACGAATCTCCATATATGAACAGTAAAAATATCGAATTAATTACAATAAGTTCTGTTAAATCAGATATCTGGAGGATACTTTATGCGTCTATGCATGTTGTACTTATACATGTACATTTTAGTCTATAGTACTCAAGGCTCGTATAATGGGGACCCATTTACCTTTGGGAGATGCTGTCGTGATGATTGCTGTTGTAGCTGTTGTTGTAGATGGTTGCGTTGTTGTCGTAGGTTTAGTAGTGGTTGGTTGTGTAGTTGTTGTAACTGTTGTTGTAGATGGTTGTGTTGTAGGTTTCGTAGTGGTTGGTTGTGTAGTTGTTGTAGCTGTTGTTGAAGATTGTCGTGTTGTAGGTTTAGTGGTTGTTGGTTGTGTAGTTGTTGGAGCTGTCATTGTAGTTGGCATCGTTGTTGTAGTAGATTTGGTAGTGGTTGATTGTGTAGTTGTTGTAGCTGTTGTTGTAGATGGTTGTGTTGTAGGTTTAGCTGTTGTCGTCACCAGTTCAGTTGTTGCCATTGTGGTCTTTGTTGAACAGTCTGTATTGAAACAAGATTTTAAAATAGAACGTTCAATATAACGAACAAATTGTTATGTAGGTGTACTTTAAAATTAAACATTAACGCCATTATCCATATGTAGTAGGCCCATTTCTGTTATTTCGGTATTCAACCGTTGAATGGGAAATGCGTTCGAATTGAATTGAATTTTATTGGATTAAGAGTTTTCCAAATAATTTTTGACTTTTCATCGAATGTTCTATTCATCAGTTGTCAATGTTCCGATAATGCAGCAGCAAACAGTGGATGAGAAGTATCTTATTATCTTTTAGGAGGGGTTGGGGCGTCTTCCTTCGAAACCCAGATGGCATACCCTAAGTACTCAAATGAAAAATCTGAGTCCAACTGTGTATTCTTTTCTCCGCAATGTGCCGCCTTGACAATTTCCCGGATCCATCCTGATCAAACCCCTATAAATATCAAGTAAAAACGAAATAATAACCAATCGCAAAAAAATCTTAATATTTCTTTTTGCACTCGATGTTTAGTAAGCCACCTGTATCCCGGTGGTGCTGTTATGCATTGAATCGATGTCAAAATGGAGGAAAAAATGAATCAATCACCATTTTCTTTCTCGTACATATATTTTAAAGTTGTTAAGCAATTACTGTCATGCCACGTGTATCACTGTCATGCTCTCCTGCATTAAAACATTTTGTAAATCAGACAAAAATGAAATAATCACCATTTTCTTTCTCGCACACATAGCTATAAGATGCGGAGCAGTCTCTATCATGCCAATGTCCACTCGAGGCTACCATACGGAAACACTCGACACCATCGTCATAAGAAGTACTTCGTGTGTTATCATAAGTCAGACTAGACCCGTCCAACCACACACCCTGGCCACGGGAGTCCACCGTTAGTCCGATCCAGTAATCCCCAACGTTGTTCTCCCTCATGCGACGTTCGATGAAGTCCTGTTCCTCTGCGGTCTCGATGTAAACCAGATGGAAGTCTCGCCTGGAACAGTCTGAAAACGCTTGAGGGCGTGTCGTCGAAGAGGGACTGAAATAGTAGCACGACTCCCCATATTCCTCTGTTGCATCCGGACATGCTTTAAATGCAAAACAATGATTGTACTAAGGAGTTGAAAGGATGCAATACTCTTAAATCTGTAAATAACTAAGTATCAATACTTTGCACATATTTAAACTCACATTCAGATTAATTTTATTGACTAAAGTACCAACATGAAGGAAGTTGGATTTCTTCAACTCAAATATTTATGAGAAGTGTATTTTTTGACGCTATAAGTGTGATATTTATTCTCATTTGTTAAAATTGAGAATGATCCCTCTTACTTGGATTTTAATCAGTTAATTGATTGTGAAATTACATATAATATGCGGTGTGATATTTGTGATAATAGAAGGATCGAGTGGGCGGAACGCCCCTCCGCACCTATTGAGAAAGAAAAGCCCACGAATATAGCCTCTTAGGAATTATATCAGGGGCTGACGGGATCCTGGAAACGTTTGGCTGGATTCCTTTGGGAAAGATATTATTTGGTGTTTTTTCGAGGGTGGGAATCCTTTCTCACTACTGCATCCCACCTCGTCTACTAATGTGATCTTGAGAGGGCAGAAACCCCATTCCACTCGTCAATCTTCTATTCGCTCTTGCTTGTGGCCACGTAATGGTATGCGCCTACTCTTTCAAAAAAAATTTGAGTACATAATTTTACCCAATCATACAAGTTTATTTTCATCATTTAATGACGTTATACATGTTATCTGATTCCAATTGTGTATTCTTTTCTCCGCAATTTTCCCCCTTGACAATTTCCTGGATCCGTCCTAAGCAAACCACTGTAAAAATCAAGTAAAAACGAAATAATATTCAATCGCAAATATATCTTAAATTCTTTTTTTTCACTCTCTGTTTAACATACAACCTGTATCCCAATGATGCTGTTATGAATGGAACCAATATAAAAACGAAAAAAACAAACTTTAATCACCATTTTTCTAGTAAATATATTTAAAAGTTGATAAGCAATTACTGTCATGCTACGTGTATTATTGTCATGCTCTCCTGCATTAAACCGTTTTCTAAATTAGATTTAAAAAATAAAATATTCACCATTTTCTTTCTCGCAAACATATCTATAAGATGCAGAGCAATCTCTATCATGCCAATATCCATTCGATGCTAGCAAACGTAAACACTCGACACCATCGTCGTAAGAATTACTTTGTGTGTTATCAAAAGTCAAACTGGACCCGTCCAACCACACACCCTGGCCACGGGAGTCCACCGTTAGTCCGATCCAGTAATCTCCAACGTTGTTCTCCCTTATGCGACCTTCGATGAAAACCTGTTCCTCTACGGTCTCGATGTAAACCAGATGGAAGCCGTACCTGGAACAGTCGGAAAACGCTTCAGAGCGTGTCATTGAAGAGGGACTAAAATAGTAGCTGGACTCCCCATATTGTTCTGTTGCATACGGAGATGCTGTAAATGTAAAACAATGATTGCATTTAGTAATTTAAGGGACGGAATACTCTTAAATCTTTGAATAACTTAGCCTCTTGTCGATGGCCCTGGCGCTGTTGAAGTCCGAGAATTTTGGTGAGCAAAGCGAGCCAGAAACGAGGCGGAGGCGCAAGCGCCTCGTATCGAATTAACAGACTCTATCAGTGCCATGGCCATCGACAAGAGGCTATGAATAACTAGGTATCCATACTTTGCAAATAATTAAAATCAAATTTATATTCAATTCTTCGATTAAAATCCCAACATGAAGGAATGTGGATTTCCTCAACTCAAAATTGAGAATGATCCTTCTTACTTGGATTTTAATCAGTAAATTGAATTTGACATTACATATATTGTGCGTAGTGATACCAACGCTGACGAAAACATGAGGATCGAGTGCGTGAAACACCCCTCCGCAGCTATCGAGAAAGAAACAAAACCCACGAAAACAACCTCTTACTCTCTTAGGAATGAAAAAGAGGCTTACGGGATCCTGAAGAGGTTCGGCTGGATTCCTTTGGGGAAAGATGTTATTCGGGTTTTTGTCGGGGGTGGGAATCCTTTCTCCCCCCCCCCCCTACTTAGGTGATCTTAAGAAGACCGATACCCCATCCCACTGGTCGATCTTCTGTTTGCTCCTGCAAGTAGCCACGTAATGGTATGCGCCTACTCTTTCAATTGTAGTCATAGTACGCAATTTAACCCAATCATACCAGTTTATTTTCATCATTTAATGACGTTTTATGTTTTAATCTTTTTATACAGAGTGCTCTGAATTATGAATTGTACATAACCAGAAAGTACAACAGTCGCCGGAATATTGGAGTCCTCCTTTTTCTTAGCAGTACATTGTGACGTTCATGAATAAGAGCGATTTAATCAAAAGTAATACCTGAAGTCTTTATAAATTATAATGGCAATGCTGAGTTAAATTAATAATCGCTATTTTCATTTACAAATCGGCAATTTCTTGATTTAAAAAAATGTTCATTCTGACTGTTACAATTAATTTAACTATTAATTTTTCTATAAAAGAGTAGAAAATACAAATAATTGTTAACAATTGTTAACAAGCTGATTCATTTATATGTTTCGTAAACCCTGAACGGCTATGGGTTAATGACGATATAAATATTGGAATATATTCAATATAGCACTAATTTCTTACACATAACATCTTGAACAAAAGGCTTTGGTTAAAGATCGGGTTTAACCAAGGAAGTTAGTCTGACGAGGTTCCTTTTAAACCCAGCGTCGGGTTTAATTGAATTTGTATAATACGAGCCTTTGCGTTTGAAGGAGTGTTTACAGCAACCTTTGCCTTTAGAAGCGATTGGCTATCTTAATTTCAAAGTATGAATACTAAGCTTAAACTCTAAAATCCCTGGTCACTTCTTAGATAGTGATGGAGAGCGTTATCCATTTTTTTTTTTTTTAAAGGGGAAGGGATCAAATACTTACTTTCGCATTGTTGGAGGGTAAGGAGCATTTGCTGATGTAGCACTATTATGACGCAAATTTTATACCACATCTTGGAAAGAAAAAACAAGAAAAAACACACACCAAAAGAATTATTCCAATGCAGTATTGACGACATGCGTTACATGCTATACATCTGTGTGTCTGATATCATAGACAGTCATAAATTCCACGTTTAAAGTATATATATGACACAAAATCATATACAAATTCTATATGAACATTGTAAAAAGTATCGAATAACCGCCTGGAGACAAATCGATAAGTAAATAATTAAATGCAATTTGGGGGAAGAGAATCGTTTACCAACCTCGAAGTCCAAGTTTGAAAGAATACAAAAAAATTAAACTTTGTACAGATTGTCCCAGATGTAAGTGAATATCGTCAACTAAAGATGTTTCAAATAATGATCATTTGAATGAATAATTAACTGAATTATAATAAATGAATAATTGTTAAGTTCCATTACTCATAATGTTCAATGTTGCCCCGTCTTTCCTAAAAAGTGAAATTTCCACATATTTTGCATTTCAAACATGAGTTAGAGAATGACTGGCAGGTTAAAACAATTTATCAAAGGATGCAAAATCAATTTCGTAACAAGGAACACAAAAACATTATTGTTTGGAAACTGCCAAATTGTTTTTCTATTCTTCAAAAGTAGGACGGTTTTTCAGTACCACCGTTCAGATCTGTTGATGGTATGGAATTAAAAGCTATCGACACCATAGGTCGTTCGACTTGCAGTAATCAGAAGATTGTGTATATAAAGATCCTGAAATACACACTCAGAGAGTTTATTTTCAAAATATTTCACACAACAGATACTAGGGTAGGCAGGAGAACATTTATGTTTTCAGTTTTTATAGTTTAGAAAATATTGACACAAAACTAGAAGGAACAATAAGACGGGAGCACCAATACTTACATCGACAGGCATCATCGAATCTTCACTCTAAATCCATGTCGCTGCTGCAGACGAGTAAATATTTAAAAAACTGTTTTTGATATTGTCATGATCATCGCGGTAACTTTTTATTATAATTTAAACAAAACAATTTATGTCACGTGCGATATAAGAGTAAATAATGAATATTCCGTGAGAATCCACTTCGACTCGTGAAAATAAGTGGTGATCCTTCCAAAATTGCATCATTATGAAAATGAAATTATCGAGCCCTTGAATATTGTGAAATGAATCGTGTAACCCCATCGATTGTTGCAGTCTGACGTTAGAAATGTCAACTATTCTATCCGAATTTGTTACTTAATGATTGAAAGTCTGCCTACCGCTCATTGTGAGATATTCATTAAGCTAGCCTTCCAATTTAATGACTTCAACATTTCCACCATCGAAATTGGTTTGCCCTTTGTTAAAGGTACTATGTCCCATTTGCAGGCCAAAAAAATGAAAAGGTAAAATTCCAACGGCATTTGAAAGACAATGCTAATTTAGAACTTTTCTCAAAACGAAAGGGCTTTTAAATGGCTTTTAGTGGGAAAATAAAGACCACTAGTTGTCGAATCGACTAAAGTGATTGCAATCACCTAAGTAATAGTCTGATTTTCAAACCCGTTTACGAAATGGTCGTACGTTTTGTGCTGCACAAAGATTCAATCAGTTAAATTTTGGCCATTAAAAGTAGTGGGTTATTGATGTAGACAAATGCCTATGAACCTGTTACGGCAAATGTTATGTATGTTATTACCAAAGAAAAAAAGATATCAGTCAGTCACGCGATAGTGTCTGACAGTGAGGTCTAGAAGGTAAACAGGTTGCATAGTTTGAATATTAGGACACTGCTAACCTTTAAATTTCACAGATAGGATATAAATGACATATTCATAACTCCTGCAAAGTTCTACAGAATTTGATGTTGGCTGTAAAAGGGACATAGTAGTATCTTCATCGCCTACAAATATTAGGCCTCAATCCAACTCAAGAACAAACACTTTAATCTCCAGATATGTCGCAATGAGGAAATAATAAACTATACTGACATTTTCCCCAACACTGAAATTTGATTATCAATTTCACGTGGTTTTTGGATGGAAAAGTGTAGAGAGAATTGGCTTTATGGATTAACACTCAAACACTGTTACTGTTACAAAATGAATCATTGGTCGGAAACTAGCGGTTTTCGCTGCAAACCACATTCGCCAGAGTAGATGAGCCACGCTCGTCACACCTAATGTATCGGATTATCATAACTCGTTAATTGTGTAACGTAGATAAGAGCATCCTAACATCTCTTAGCAACCTAATCAACAACAGGTGTGTTTTTTTCTCGTCTAGAATAAAATATGGCAAGCCTCTAGATGGTATAATAATAGTCAGCTACGGGATCAATAAATGTTCCTCCCGGATATATGAACACCTTCAAGGCAAAACAAAATAGAGAAGAAATGAGAGGAAGGATGCGAGTTTGGATCTTTAAAGATAAAATTTAGTTCTAGTCATGTAATTGCATGGTGAAATAAACTCTATGGAAGTGATCGGAAAGGATATTCGTGTAGGACGGTGTATTTCAACCGAGGTGCCGCAAGACACAAGGGTGTCACGAGAAAAATTTCGTTATATAAAACAATATTTGGAAATAGAATTTCGTGAGAAAAAATTAGAAACCACTTGTCGAGGAGTATGTAATTTCATGTAGAAAGACGATTAAAAGATAGCCAATTTTACTTTTCTTCTTCGCTCGCTTCGCTCCTCGCAGCATTTAGAGACATGATGATTATAGGCAGCAAAGTACCTAACTATCCTCATATTCATGTATCGAGGAGACAGAATATATGAATATATTTTATTAATGTTTATTCGGTTGGGAGGTGCCAGCGTACGTTATTGTACAGCTTATCTAGTGTGTTGATTACAAAATAAAATTTCAACCATATAAATTATGTCATTATTTTTGGCTCGCTCGAAAAATTAGATACAAATGTGCCCATACACGTTTATATGACGCTTGACGAGTGCCACAGCGATGCGCAGTAAATTTGATGTGGTGAATTTGTAATATGTAAGACAAATTCAAGAGGTTTGATGCCTTTTACGAGGAAACTCCAGGGTGAGGTTGGTAGGATGGCAGAATTGCTCCGTAGTTATCTTCTTTTTTTTCGTTATCGTTTCTGTTTATCCGATTCTGGTAATGGTAGTCAGTGGCATTTATACTGTGGAGCCTGGTGTGTTGGGGAAAAATAGTCTTTAGAAAAGAGAGAACAGAAAAAGAAGGAAGTAGAAAGGACGAGATTTTAGAAGGCCTGTATCACGCCCGCACCCTCCCCATATAGTCAGTATAGCCGTGTAAATTCGCATTCCATTTTCCAAATCAGACCGGTGTGCCTCATCCCCCCCCCCCCCCCTCAGGATTCCAACGCCCCCTCATTGGATGATCGAACTCAAGCAACGCCACTGATGGGAGTCTGATCGCGGCGAAGGTGAAAATCTACTTCCGTACTAGAATTATGTCCCGGCATGCTTTGCGATGAAACAACCATGAAGGCACGTAATAAGTGCATTAGGTGCATTTCATAACCACAATTTGATAGCTAGCATGATAATCAATTGTGTGCAATTATTGTCAATGTCAGCCTTTATCCCTCTAAGTCCTTGTTAATTGCATTGTAATCGCTCTGATATAAGCATCGTATTATGCCCTAGATAGTCTCCGAAACCTTCAAATTAATTGACTTTATAGTATTTCAATAGAAAGCAGCGTCGCAATTATCTCTCCTTCATCAAGTTTCCAATAACTACCTTTTTTCCTTCGTTCCTTCCTTTTTTCATTCCCCTCCATTCATCTTCGCTATCATTTATAATGTCCCATTCAATAACTGTACCGTTCCCCTTAAAGCACACCCCCTCATAATGACTTTTTTTTATGGTCCCACATTTATCCTTTTCTATCTCAATATCAATACCCATGTCTCTCATAAGTAATCTTTTTATATTTCGGACTACTACAAATAAAATTTCATTTCATGCCTTTCACATTTTCTTATTATCCAAAGTTCTACTCTTCAATTCACAGTGATTATTATTCTTCTATGCTACGAAGAGAGTATACATGTTTACAATTCCTTGTGGTCCCCTCTCCTTATCTGTTTTGTTTTTTACCTAATTTTTTTTGTATTGCACATCTCCATTTCTATCTTCCCCTGTAACCCTGATTTTCTTTCGTTACTACGGATTTGGTTTAGGTTATTCTCCAAAGTGCCGTCACACATCTCAATCTCTTGAGCTATCCTCCCTCCCTCATCCCTCTCTCCTCGTGCCCTCCCTCTCTCTGTCTCTTCCTCCCTCCTCTATCCCTCTCCTTTACTTCTCCCTCTCTCCCTTCCCCTTACTATTTCCTTTCCCTTCTCTATTGATCTGAAGTATTCATCTTTTACTTATATGCTCTAGAAAAATTGCTGGTCAAATAGCTCTAATTTAAGTTTAGATACACGAAGCGCGAATGTGCGTATTTATATGGGCAGCAAATATTGGTCATTTGCTTCTTAAATTCGTTTCAAACATTTGTAAGTACACGTCATAATGAAAGATTGTTTCACTTTACTTCAGACGGATGATATTTGCGTGGGACATTTCCTTTTTTCGACCGTCATCGATTGATCGCCGGATCGACGTTCATTATTGCCTTCAACGTTCACCTCCACCCCACCTCTACATTTCATTTCATTTTCTGCATCGATAAGTTTCCACAAACATGCATACACACGAGCTGATACCACAGTAATTGGATATTAATGAAATAAGGATGCACGCTGAAATCAATGATATAGGAGCATTCGAAATGCTCCGGTGGATGAAAGAAGACCAGTCTTGAAATAAAGGGCTATTTTAGGTGTGTCAATACCCGTATCGATTAATGAAATAAGGATGCACGCTGAAATCAATGATATAGGAGCATTCGAAATGCTCCCGTGGATGAAAGAAGACCAGTCTTTAAATAAAGGGCTATTTTAGGTGTGTCAATACCCGTATCGA